TTCCCTGCTCCATGAACAAGTCCTCCACTCAATTCTCTACTGCGTCATTCCCCCACTAATACACATCATCTCTCCTGCAAGCACAATAGTCTACTACTCAATTAATGCAACATACAAGTACAAGCCAGCACTCAAGACCAAGTTGTCAAAATCGAGATTTTATCTAAAATCATTTTGGTTAGGTGAAATCGGAATCGTAAAATCGAATCGGTAAAATTGAAATTTTACAAAATTTAATATATAATATATAATAAATTATATAAAATCAAAATTAAATAACAATAAATCAAATTTAGAGTTAGAAACTTGAAATTAGACAATTAAAATCTAAATATCCAACAACATAAATAAATTAAACGAAGAAGATGACTTAAATTTAGAATATTAGATGGTTAAATCAAATTTGTCCCGAATTCCCGATTAAAATGTTGATTTGTGGTTGGATTATGTGAGTTGTGAGCTTTTAAAATGAAAAATGAGCTTAATTTATGAGTTATCTAGTCAAAACTCACTAACCCAAGATAAGAAGCCTAAAAGGAAATAGATTAAAAGTCCAGCTGCCAAACAGAAGGTAAAATCGAGATTTTACCTGATTTCACTTGATTTCACGGTAAAATCTAGATTTTACTGTGAAATCCCCAGATTTTATGAATTTCAGATTTTAGTATAGATTTTACACAAAATGTCTTGCTAAAATCGTAAAATCGTAAGATTTTAAGATTTAAATCTAGATTTTGACAACAATGGTTTGGACCATCAGGGTTGACCAAATCCAACCTAGAAACTTTACAAAAGTTGATACAAAGCCAATTGGCTATCATGTTGTACTTACTAGCCTGCTTGGTCGTGGAGCGTGTGGAAGTGAATCTATTCTTATGGATAGATTTAACCATAGTTTTTCATTTTTAGTTTGAATTATATTAAATTATAAAATTAGAGTTTTTAAATGAGGAGGAGAGTTTAATATCATAAGATTCTTTTCAAATTTAATAATCATTATTTTATAATTTAGTATAATTTTGATTACAAAATAATTTTTTGTTCAACATTTAAAGTTTTTTTTTTAATTTTAAATGATGAGGGTGTTTTTGAATTAATTTTTATTATTGTTGAGATTAATTCTACTTTGAGCAATCTTAAAAACGTGTCCTCTCATTGGGCTAGTATATTTAAGAAAATTTATTTTTTAAGCATTGATCCCAATATTTAAATTTTAAACTTGACTTATAAAATAATATTTATTTAATGGATGATCAAAGTAAAATGGTAATTATTTTAGGTAAATGTCACATTCGAATATGAATGATCCAATGGAACCTAACTTCAAACAAAGTTAACATTTGAGCTTTATGGGTGTGGTTATAACCACAAATAAAAATGTTAATACAACACAAATTATTTTAATTACATTGATATTTTGTTTTATAATTTTTTTAAAACAACTGGGAATGATATTTGATATTAACTAAACAGTATTAGATGTTAACCAAACAATATATAGTACACAAATAATATAACCTTGATATTATTACATGTGACCATAACCACACTTAAATTTTATTCCTCTCTCTATATAATAGTAAATATATATTTTTTGAAAGTAAGAAATTCATAGTATTTCATACAAGTACACGTTACATATACATCATATCATTACTTAACAATACCTACAGAGTGTCAAAAGGCCTAATATTCCAATTAACATGGCATCTACCTTTAATAGACATCCTAGCCAACTAGTCAACAACTAAATTACCATTTCTAGGATGGTAAAATCCCAAAATCCACCCCTCAAATAGAGGATAGAGACAAATCCACCTTTCAAAACAATTCAAGGATAAATTACCCTTCTAAATTATAAATTGAGACAAATAATCCATTTTCTAACGTGTGACATCATAATTCTGTTTGCCATGTAAGCATTTTTTAAGGAAAGTTGATGACACGCATTAAAAAATGGGTGATTTATCTCAATTTATAATTTGGAGGGACAACTTGTCCCTGCATTTTTTTTGGGGGTGGATTTATCTGTGCCCCCTATTTGAGAGGTGGATTTGGGGATTCTGCCTTCTAGGATTAAAACAAAACTCAAAACTAGTGTATAATTCCTTTATCCTACACAAATCATATACTATAGTAAAAGCCTCCAAAGGTAGCTACTTGGTAACATCATTTACACACTCAATTTGGACTTAACAATCTGATTCAAAAATAGATTTTTGAACTTGCATATGGATAGCCAACTAAGCTACCATAAGCAAAGCAACAGCTTCAGCCATGAAAGAGGATAAAGCTCCCCTCTGTTACACTTTTCATGTACAAGTGAAGCCATTTGAATTTCTCCCAACCTCAACTGATGCTACGACACCACTGGATGATAGATAAGAAGCATCAAAATTAAACTTTAAGATGCCACTTAGGGGAGGTATCCAAGCACTTCTTCCCACAAGACCACCATGTAGCTTAGAAACTAGTTATTTTATCATTTGCATTCTCATTGTACGAGGTTGGAAAGGATCTTACATACTAGGCAAGCAATATTCTTGTAACAAACAATTTGCACACTTCAAGACTTGCATAGGATGGACATCTAGGTATTCCAATTGCCTCTCATTTCTAGCCTTTCAAATATGCCAATAGATGATGGCCACATACTCCATTAATGATTGATTAGAAGGGCTTCTAAAATAACTACTCAAATTAATCCACCAACTAGTAAAAGAATCTTGCCTCATTCTATATGGATATCCCCCAAGAGTAGATGCAAACTATACAAGTTTGGCATGAGGACACCGAACAAGCACATGCATTAAATCTTCTTCCTCCATAAAACAACTAGTGCATATAGATATTAAAGTTATATTCCATTTTTGCATAGAGGTAAGTGTAGGTAAAGAATCCAACATAACCCTCCATAGAAAAACTTTAACTTTAGGAGGAATTCGCATCTTCCATATACCCTTCCAAAGGTTTGAGAACATTTCACTATATATCCCATTTTCTTGTCCCATTAAATGATTATATACAAGGACATATGTAATTTTAACTAAAAATTGACCATCACAAGTAAATAGTAAATAGTTTTTGTTTGAGTGCAATTGAAATTTCATTTATCTAAAACAATGATATGGCATTTTCATAACTATTTTAGATAATTGTCACATCTTAATGATTTGAATGATCTAATGAAACCTAAATTTAAAAAATAAAAATGGGTTAAAGCCAACTATAGTTCCTTTACTTTCAATATTCATTTATTGTTATCCCCATACTTGAAAATCATTCAAAGACTTCCCTTTACTCTTCCAAAACATACTACTCTCCTCCCTCTATTTTAAGTTTTTATACCATTTACTTCCCCTCATCTAACACCAACTAACACCATTACTAACTATCATCTAATGAAAATTTTTTACCATTAAACCTCAACCCGTCCATTAATTTTTTTATTTGTTGATTTTCATTTACTAAGCCTCATTAATTCCAAGTTAGCAACACAGGCTTGCCTCATGGGTTTGGTGTCAACACCTACTCTATGGTATTTGCACCATGTGTTAAGTCTTTAAAAGATTGTATAAAACAAACATAAGTGCCAACACTTACATTCTGATGTTGACACTAAATGCCCTCTCAACTTTAAGAATTTTTATCTTTATCATAGGTCTTACTTCTCTTCTAATAGAATTTCTTAAACTCTATAAATACTTATTCAAAACTAGACTTAGGAGCATTTTGGGGAAGACCAAGAGAGAGACAGCTAAGAGGAACTCAATATAAAAAGAAAATCAAGTTTGAGATTTTATTTTGTTAAATTGGTTTTATTTGTCCATGAATTTTGTTTTATGATGTTGGATACTCTTATATTTATCTTAGGATATTTGATTTTTTTTTATTTAATTATGAATTAATTTAGTCATCTAAGGTTATAATGTAGTCTAATCAATTTGATATAAAATTTCTTGATTTTTATACTTTCAATCTTTATTATTTTATGTAGAGTATATATTATTATTTTTAATGGTTTTTAATGATTAACCAGCATTAAAACTGATTTGGAGAGCATAATTGAGACTAACTTCTAATAATATATATCATAAATTGAACGAAACTTAGAGATGGATCAACATGATTTGTGTAATATTAATGATAAATAGACTTGATTTTTTTCATAAATTAGGAAATTTCACAAAATATAATGCATTTTTCTTTATTTAAATTCACATAAAGATGTAGCGGGTTAATAAGTGAAAATATGTTTGATATAATTTGAGAAAACATATCGAATATGATAGAAAATCTCATTATCATATGAGTAATAAAGAAGACTTTGGAAGTATATTAATATAAATTATATATTAATTGATTATGGTGAAATAAGATGCCTTAGAATTTCAATTCTTGGTATCACTTAAAGTCAATTTAGTTTTTCTTTAATTAGTTTAATTAATTAGTTCATTCAAATCATTTAATTTCAATTGTTTAAAGAAAATTAGAATTAATTAATTTTGGTATTTAATTGGTCTACCGTCTCTGTGAGACGAAAACTTAATTTTTATCATTACATTATTTAAATTAACTAGTACTCTTACTAGAGTGAAATTAGCTCATCAATGGTGTTGTGTCCGTTTGAAATTATTCGATGAGAATGGTAATTCAAATACTGGAGTCCCCTTTAAACTCTAAGGAATTTAATTGCAAAATTTAGATGGGTTGTATGGAATCTCAAATGAATGGACTTGATTTAGGGATTTAGGGATTTTGATAAGGGTTAAAGGGTAGGCTAGGCAAATTTGGGTTGCTCACATGGAAGTTATAGGGCCCACTAATTGAAATTCAATTAAAAAAAATTAATGGATGGGTTGAGATTTAACGGTGGAAAAATCCATTAGATGACCATTAGTAACGGTATTAGCTAGGTGTTAGGTGAGGGACTTAAGTAGTATGAAAACTTGTAGAGGAAGGATAGTAATAAGTTTTGGAAGAATTGAGGGAGGTCTTTGAATGATTTCAAAGTATGGAGAGGACAATGAACAAAAATTCAAAGTAGAGGAACTATAGTTGGCTTTAACTTTAACCTGATAAAAATCCAAAATACACTACAACGTTTGTTTTCTTTTGAGAAAACTACAAAGTTTGTTTGCTAAAAAATGCAAACCACATGCTTTACCATTCCCCAGGTCCACAGCAGAGCCAGCACGCCATAGCTAGCGTTCAATTCAATGCACTCTTGAAAATCAACTTTGGAACGGAACTTCTAACTTAAAAGGCAAAGATTTCAAGAGACGGGGACTGCAAATTGGGTCTCTGGAAAATGTCTTTGATCCAGAAAGGAGGAGGCGCGTCTGCTCTGCAAGGTACGTACAGGAATTTTCATTTTTGCTCCATCTTTTGCTCTTTATTTTCAAAGTTTCATAGCCAGTAAATCTTAATCCATGACAGAGTGTGTGAGAGAGTCTGATTGTTTTTTGGTTTTTTTTTTAAAGGCAAAATATTTTATTAAGTATAAGAAATATTCAAATCCATATACATCAATCAACTCCTGTTGAAATGTAAAAACAACTACAGTATTAAAAGGCTCATTTACAGAATCTTGCAGCACTTTGGGTTGAGGATCCAGTCAGAAAACTAGAATTCTCCTTCCATTCTCTTGGTTTTTTTTTTTAACTTGGAGAAATTTAGAGAGTGAAAATTTTTTTTAAGTTGTTGATGAAAATCGAATTGTTAATCAACAATATTTAAGTATTTAAAATTTAAAAATAAATCATTAGATTCAAAAATCCAATTCTTCCATTCCCTTGCACTTGACCCAAAGGAAAGCTTGAGCTTGAATTTGATCAAAAATCATTGTCAAATCAACCGATCCATCTTTAAAGATTATATCATTCGGGGTAGTTTAGATGGTCTAGACGAGAAAATCAAATAATAACCCAACCCAGCCGTTCACTGCTTTTAGTGACAAAGATTTTCGTGAGAGAGTCTGAGTTAACGTCGAGACCGAAAATGGAGCATAGTTATTGTCACAAAACAAAAATATTAAAGTCACACTTTATTATTTTAATGTATTTAATTATTATTTTTATTCTTTAGAGCCTCATGCTCTTTGTATGGTAAAAGTTTTACGGGATTCTTCAAATCCAACTGTGATATAAGAATTGTTTTTTTTTTTTTTTTTTTCTTTTTTGACGGTAGGAATTAGGGGATGAAAAAAAATATTACAAATAATATTACAATTACAACTTAAATCTTTAACAAAAAGACCAATCATAATTAGGGCGCTTCTATCGTAGCTAAATGTAGCAAGCGCATATCAA